CCACCCCCCCACTGCAAACTGGAACAATCCCTGCCTTTGCCTAGTGTCCATGGACTCCTCCAGTCCCTCATAGCTGGCCCCAGCACTCAGACATGCTCTGCTGCCTCAGACAGAAAGGGCAGCGATGCAGGTCTGGCCTCATCGTGTCTCATTACCCACTACAGCTGGCTCCCTTTCCGACCTCTGGCCTGCTGCCAGCAATCTCCACACCCCACAGGTCCTGTCCCAGCCTTGAAGGATACAGGTTGCTCTTGTAGGAGCTGCCAATGAGCCTGCCACTCTCTGTGCGGATCTTCTTCTTGTCCCCCTGGCCTGTCTGCCCCACAAACCGCTTCTTCTTGCGGTCCCTGGAACAGGAGGGGCTCAGTGCACATGCTCACCACCCTCCAAGTGGAGCCATGCTGGAGGCCTTGGAGCGAGGGGGTCTCTGCCCCCCATGCCATTGGGAAAGCTTAGCACCCTGAGTCACCATCCAGATGGGGTTGGAAGGGGGTAGAGGGCTAGGATCTTGGGGCCAGTCTGGGACTCATCCCCCCTGCAGTTCACCTTACCCCCAGCCCTCAAAAGCAAGGGTAGGAGGGCAGGAAGGGGAACTCCAGCCTACCTCACAGAGTACTCAGGGTGGGGGCAAGGGGCACTGTGTGTGAGGGCAGCTGTCCTCGTAGCCAGGGAAGGGAGGCACTCACCACTTAAGCAGCTGTTTGTTCTTGTTCATGTTGTGGGTCTCATCGCCCATGAGGTCCAACACGGCGCTGGCAGCCTGCTGCTCAAAGGCACTGCCCTCCCCAGTGACACTCAGCCTATGTGGGAAAGGACCTAGATGTCACCCTGGGTCCAGGAACCGGGGTACTCCCTGCTGCCCAGCCTTGAGATTGCAGCCCAGTCCCCACCCCCCAGCTCACCCTCTCTCGCTTTCAAAGTCCTTGGGCCTGTAGGGGATGTAGAATTCTTTGTCCCGCAATGCCTCCCGCTGCTTCTTTTTTGGGACAGTGTCCCCCATCTGGCGCTGCCTCCGCTTCCTGCCCACCACAGAGGAGAAAACATCCTGGGAAAGCCAAGCACAGAGCTGTCGAGATGTGGGTAGTGACCATACAGGTACCCTATCCTCCCCCTTCTCCCCTGCCAGGCCCATTGGGGCCATTGATGCACTAGAGCAGGCGTGGCCACCCTGAGGCACATGTTACAAGTGGCATGGGCAGTCTCTGTATGCAACTGCAGCAGATGACAAGATGAGGAGGGGCATGACAGGCAGACCACCGCCAGATAGAGCAGGGAGCACAAAGCAGAGCAGCAGATTGGGCAGAGAAAGGGGATCACAGTGGCACTTAGGGAGGGCAGAGGGCTTAATTTGTGGCATACCTGCCAAAAAGGTTGGCCCCCACTTCATCAGAAGCAGTTGGGCAATGCCACCCCTGGTACATAACTATGCCAGCCCTAAGAGCTTCGCCCACTTCTCTTGGGGTACAGGCCAATGATTGAGTACCTCAGTGTAGTTTTCATGGGTCCTGGGAGCC